AGACTCAAAACTAGGGCTTCCCGCTAAGGAAATCAAGCGTTTGGATAGCATATAACTTCATCATTGGGTGATCAATCGAAGGCACCCAAGTCTTAAGGGCGGTAAAAAATGCGGTGTCTAAAGGACCCGACCCATTTCATATTTTGGATTCAACTTTCGTTGTTATATATAGTTATTCTTGCCTTGTTTCCCAATATTCCTCTTTGAATTTGGCTATTAGGTTGTGTTGATTGTGTTTGGAACAGGTTGGTGGTTTGTTTTTCAAACTTATGTTGCTTAGATTTTTGTTCCTTCGCTCGAGCGACACTTCTTGTGTTTGAGTGGTCTTTGTGAAACTCAGGTCTGCAAAAATACTAGGAGTTTGCATTCTTCACCCGAGCAACGACCTCCGTCTGCAAAACTACTAGGAGTTTGTATTCTGCGCTCGACCGGTAAAACTTATTGTGTCTAGTCGCTCGAGCGACACATCTTGCGCTTGAGTGAACTATGCGTATATCAGTTCGTAAACAGCCCATTTTGAGTCACTTTTTCATTTGACTCTCACTCCAAACTTTCTAAAATTCCTAGATCTACACTCCTTCTCTCTAAAACTCACATTCTCTCTTCTAAAACACCTAGATCCGTTGATTTCTCTACCCTACTCCTTTTGAAAAAAAGGTAGAGCTCACTTAGAGCTTCACTTTCATCTGAGCAAAGTTGGGTTTCGGCATTGTTGAAGTTTCTTCTCTCTCTCCTTGGTCTCCTAGCTTCGAGGTAGGGATTCTTCACACTCTTGTATGAGTTTTACTTTAATTATTTGCTATTTCAAAAGATTATAGTGGTTTGGAGTTTTTGGTAAAACCTAGGGTTTAAAATCAAAATGAAAAAGAGGGGTTTTCAAATGGTTTCTTGGAAAAGCTTGTGGTTATGGAATTCAGGTTGATGTATGTTGAAATGAAGTATTTCCGACATTGAAATTGATTTTAAAAAGAAAGAGATTTTGCCCTAAAATGTGAATGTTTGAGATGGCTGAAAGGGAAAATGGAACTGCTGTTGAGAATTATGAAATTGAAGTAATGTTGATGAAGACAGCGAAGTTAGATATGTATTATCACTCCTATCTATATGTTTTGGAAAAGTGTACTTTTAATGAAATTTATTTGTCTGTTTAGAGATATTTGTTTGGGCTATCGGTAGAAGATAGGTATGAGTGTTGTAGAAATTACATGAAAATTAGGTGAATTAAAACTAATTAATTCTTATTCTTATACATTGAACATTGTTGCTCATTTAATATATTGAAAATGTATATCATTTTGAGAAAATGGGTGAATGTGGGAAACAGGTATGTATCACCAAATCAAGTTGGCCTGTGTGTCCAGGGTGAAAGTCCAAAAAAATGCGCGTATACATGGGGCTGATTCTCACGAACGAAATATCCGTAAAATTGCAATAGTAGTGCTTGTATAGGCTACGTTTATATGGGTGTTATGCAGAAGTGGTTCGCAAATACTCTTTAGATCCTATAGGACGCTCGTGATCCTCAGCTAGTCACCTGAAAAGGAATGAACACTCCAGTCATGGGTGCCGGAATTAGCACTCCGACGGATTAGTCAGTATATAATCTCTTGGTTGTTTATAACTCAAGTTAAGATATTTCTCACATACCTTCATCTGGCTGATGCTCCTCTATTTATATCTTTTCTTTTGGGCCTTAGGGTCGGACCCACCCTTAATCCATTGCACGTTTATTTATTCGGCTTTTGTTCGGCTGGATGGAATGTCGATTAATAATCTATTCGGCCCTGCCATCGTATAGGATGAAGCCGAATACAAATTCCGTCCTTGACTGTCCTCATATTGTTATTCGGCATTATTGCCCCCCCGAGATATTCGGCTCCCACAAGTGTCATTTGACGATTTTTCATGAACAAAATATCTGTGAAAGGTTGTACTGGTTTGAGATTTCTCCTTCTTTCTATTGTAAAGGAGATGGTTTTGAGAATTTAGATATAAACCTGACATAGGACGACTTTTGAAAAGGAAATAAATGTTTTGGTACTGGCATTGCATATGCATAAAACCTTATGGCTTTGTTAAGATTTATACATTGTGTTTTAGTATTTCTACTAGGTTTTGTCTCACCCTATGTGGAAAAACAATTTTAGGTACTAGTGATATGCCTCCACCAAGGACTTAACTTGGGAGGACTGCGGAAACTGAAGGTTTAGTGTTATTATTTTGTATTTAATTTTGTACAAGCTTAAGGCTTTATTTGTATTGAGCTTAAGACTCACTTTTGACATACCCAAGCATTGACTTAGAAAGATGTAAACATTTAGGGCATATGATTATTTATTTAGCTTTCATTTCTTTTCACTATGAATGTATATCACATGTGTCACCTTTTGTATATCAAATTTTGACTAATGAAAGTTTATCAATTCATTTATGTTGCTATTTATTAGTTGTTATGAGATGGATATATTGTGTTTATTTCAGGGCGTTACACTTTTCATCGCTTTCTCTTGCTGCTTTCCTGCAATATTGCACCAAGATTGTGTTTCCAAAACAGGTTCTTCCATATTTGGAAGTGCACATACACAATGCACGTGTGTGCGAACCACTTGTTTCGGTACATGTGCCATCTATGTATGCACAAGTGCGGGGTCATATGCCCTTGTCTTGTTTGTGGCTTAAGTAAGCCCGAATTACTTTTCTGATCAATGTTTTTAATAAAATTGACTATTACTTTTGGAAAATGTCTTGGTTCAAACCATAGCTGGGCTTTCTTTTCTCTCTAAGGATAAAATGGTCATTTTTGCAAAAAGTTAATTTTTGGCCAAAACATGTTCATATAGGAACTCCAAACAATCTCAAATATTCTAAAGATGAAATAATCATCATTTCATTATTGGGAGACTTGCAAGCACCTGAAATCTTAGGATCAATTAAAATGGGGTGTACATAGTCGACGCTAAAAAAGTCGCTAAAAATTGGCCAGAAAAGTTGCTAGTGACCGGCAACCAACCGCAGCAGGTGGTGGTGTTGAGGTAGAGAAATGTGTGATATTTAACATATATGGTATTGAATAAATTACATGTGTCACATTTCAACAAATAGGAAAATAGGTTTTGTGAATTTCAACAGATAGACAAATTAGGTGATTTCGAAAGACAGATAAGTTGATTTCAACAAACAGTGTCATTTTGAACAAATTGTGTCCTTTTGGCCCAAAGAAATTAAAGTTTGGGCTTAATGGCCCATAAGATTAAAAAATGGACCTATGATCTGAATACCCATTATAAATATATATCTTGAGATTTGCTTAAAATATGGATTGCCCCTTGTGATTTGAAAAATTACAAATACCCATTGTCAAGATTTTTTATTTAACAGAATTAACTAAAAAAATAAAATTTCCAACTGCTCTCTTATACAGTAATAAAATTAATTGAAATATATTTATGACATTATTAAATACTTTTAATTTTGATCATTTATTAATAAAAAAAAATTTGTTATGAAATTAAAAATTTTAAGGGATGTGATGTAATTTTTAAAATCACAAAGAGTAATTTGTATTTTAAATAAATCTCAGAAATATATTTATAATTTATTCAAATATAGATTACGGAGTATGTTAAGAAGTGTCAAGAATATTAATTTGAGGGCAAATCACATTAGTAATCGTTATATTTTCGTCTTGCATCATTTTCATCCTAATAATATCAATCCGCTCAATTTTGAACTGGAATTTGATAGTTAATTTTTTTTTTTTTTTTTTTTTTTTTAAAAATGCAAACATAGGAAAAACTATAAACTTGTTAAACTCTGGCGGTGTTTGGCAATTTAGTTTTTAGGTTTATTTTTTTATTTTTTTTTACTACAAGACAAATGTTTTACAAAATAAAAAAAAAAACAAATCCAAACAAAATATCACATCAAATTTCATAATGATTTCACTTTTTTTCTCACAAACATCACATCTAACCACATGTACGGGGAGGAAATAATTCTCCTCGTATAATCCTGTTGACCAAGTTCATGCTCCTCCGTACGACGTCGCTTTATCACCTGAAAACACAAACGTGAGCTAGCCGGCGGGTGTGTGCCGGAAACCTCTCCGATGCCTAAGTCAGAAAACTTGACAAAAAGCTCTAAGTTTTCAGGAAGATTGTGTTCAATTACCTCCTCCAAGGTGATGTTTGTGGGCTTTTATAAGTTTCCCGTGGCACAATCCTAGTAGGACTTGTATTCCTCCATGCAAAGTCCTCCTAGGATTCATACTCCTAAGGATAATGCTTATCCTTTTACACCCTCCCCCACTGCTTAAACCAAGTGGGATGGTTTTCTCCATGGCCGAACTACCATTTGACCGAAGTAAGGTAGGCCGAACTATCCTTAGTTCAGCCCTTCCCTTTACTCTCCCTTATATCGGTTTCTCATCTGTTCAACCTATGGTGTGTTTGGACCGAACCAACGACTCTCGACCGGTATAACTCCCAAACCGGTATACCTCTAAGGTCGATATAACTTCAAGGCCAGTCTAACTTCAAGTTGCTCCCAGACCGAAGTACATTTACAATCCTCTAACCGAAGTAACTTTATCATTTGTGAGTAATTAGTGCTCCCAATCATTTTTCAAATTTTTTAGACTAAATCACATCTAAATCATAATTATTTTATTTTTTTTATAAAAATTAAAAAAGTCAAAAAATTTATCTCAAACAAAACTTTTTAATCTTAAATTAAAATAATTAAAAAATCAAAAAATTAAAAAGTAAACCACAACGTAAACGAAGGCTAAGTCTATGATTATATCACTCCACAATAATATTTTAAGGTCCAAGGCATTGATCATTAACGGCAGCTCAACTGTCACAATATTAAATGATGATTTTATTTATTTTGTTTCTTGTCAGTTGTATTATAATTGTATAAATTTCAAGGTCCAATCACTCGTATATTATCATCTCAACCCAATCGAATTGATAATACATGAGATACGATGGTGTACATAAATAAATAGATAAAAATGTTTTATAATTGACATCATTAGCAGCACAAACCTCCATAGATTCCCTTTATATTGCCCACCGTCCCAACGCTATCATCACCTTGTCGGCCTCTTTGATCTTCCCTCCCTTCTTCTCTCTCTCCCACACACACAAATAACAATCAAAAACTCTCCTTCCGTCTTTTCTTCACAGCCAAACACACATTTCCAAACCCCTCTCTCTCTCTCTCTCTCTCTCTCCTCTTTGTTTGCAGCAAAAGAAACTAGTACTGTGACTGCTTGTTTAGATCAAACACAAGCCAAAGTGACCACCTGATTATTCGCATCACACTCCTCACTCTTTACATATACAATTGAATTTATCTCTGTTGTATTTAATCAATCTCTCTGATCTCCCTCCAGTCTCCTCCACTATCCAGTGTTCACCATGCAACATGAACAATTCAATAGCCTTCCAAGAAGCAGTAGCTGCAAAAGCACCAAAAGCATCATGCCTTCAAATTACATGAGATCATCATCATCTTTCATCTCCGAACCCGATGACAACAATCCCCTTATCCGAAAGGGCTCTCCGGTGGCCTTTCAACGCCTATCCAAACCCCGAAGCCGATTCTCCACTCTCCTCCGATCATTCCTGAACATCATTTCCTTCCCTTCAATCATCATCCCCAGCTGCCGCTGGTTCACCATACCAACCCACTTCTCCATAACACCATCACTCGGCCGAAAAATCACCGGCACCCTCTTCGGCCACCGCAGAGGCCACGTCAGCTTCGCCGTCCAAGACGATCCCCGATCACCACCAGTCTTGCTCATCGAATTGGCCGTCTCAACATCCACGTTGGTGAAGGACATGTCGTCTGGGTTGGTCAGAATTGCGCTCGAGTGCGAAAAGGGACCACCGCAGGCGACGGCGCGTGGGCGGCCGGCGAAGCTGCTTAGTGAGCCCATGTGGACCATGTATTGTAATGGAAGGAAGTGTGGGTACGCGCTTTCACGCGCGTGTAATGAGTCGGACTGTCACGTGCTTAGCACCGTGCAGAGCGTGTCGGTCGGAGCGGGTGTGATTCCGGTGGTGGATGATGGGAGGAAAGGGAGTGGGGCGGAGGGTGAGTTGATGTATATGAGAGCGAGGTTTGAACGAGTTGTGGGGAGTCGTGACTCGGAGGCGTTTTATATGATGAACCCGGACGGCAATGGTGGACCTGAACTCAGTATTTTTTTGCTTAGACTGTGAAAGACTCGCCTTTGTGAGTGTTTGGAAAGTGGATTTTTATGTAGGTTTTTTTAGTTGTACAATATTATTTGATAAATTTTTTTTGGTATTTGAAAAGATAGTTGAGTTTTTTTATAGTTAGATGTGATATTTGTGAGAGAAAAAATTAAATAATTATGAGATTATATGTGATATTTTGTTTAAATTTATTTTTTTTTAATTTTATAAAAAATTTGTCTTTTAATATAAAAAATCAAAAAAAAATCAACCCATAAACTTTCCAAACACCACCTTTATGTTTCATTTGTAGTTTGGCTATCAAATGTTAATTTAGATGTAATGATAAGTTCTTCTGTTTAGTTGGATGAGACAAGAATGGTTTAGTGAAGTGACTTTGTATTAATTATTTTCAAATTTTATGAGATTCTCTTGTGCTTTTTTGTGAGAATAATATTAAGTATTATAAAATAAAAATATCATAAAATATATCAGGAAGATTTTTCATATTTTAATTAAAGTGTAGTATTTTATTATATGTGTAATTCAAAAGTGAAGAATTTTTAAAGATCATTTTTATAATACTTTTTTCATAATCCTTAATATTATTACTCTTTTTGTGAACATAGACTCTCTTGTGCTTTATTTTCTCGTATTTGAACTAATAATGCTGTGTTTGGTTGGAGTTTTTGAGGTGGGATTTGGAAAAGGAATGAGAAATGTAATTCTATTTATGTTTGGTTATAATAAAAAATATATGGAAAAAGAAAGGGGGTGAGAAATAAATAAAGAAATAGGAGACCTTTTAGGACATCAATTCTATTTTATAACCAACACAACCAAACATAGTTGGGATTTGGAATTCTATTAATTCTTTCTCCTTTTCCTTTCATTTCCATTTCCCTTTC